CCTTTACCATACTTACCACAACACTTAGGTATGGCAGTCTGCAGTAAGTACTTACTGAAAATAAATGACCATTTTAAAAATGATTTAATTATTCATCTCTAAGACGATGATCTTTAGAGATACAGAAACTGATTTCATCTGAGCAACAGCACAAGAAAAAGCACAATAGATTAAAAGTTAGCTACTATATTACATCATTACTCCAGGACAACTAGAATAATACACAATGTCATTGTCTTACTCTTCCAAAGTATCAAAGGTTAGTTACATTTCCTACTAACATTAGTAAGTAAAACTATGATTACTACAATTACTAAGGAATTTTAGTAGCTATTTTTAAGTATTTTCCAATCTAAATAAAGATACCTTTTAGAAGTTGTCTGTAATAGAAAGAAAATGTAAATAAATACATTACACTTAACTTTACAAATGATTGTGTCAGCTTTCAGTGAATCTGCTTTGAAAGATTTTGAGAAGACACAGATTATACGAAACCATCTTTACCTCAGATAATTAGTAAAATAAAAAAGCGAGAATTAACATTGAGAAGGAATGTTTTTCTTCCTCATCTCAGAAGACCAAGGAGGAGGTAACTCAATTACAAACCACATTATAGAGTATGTGGCTTTCCAGACCAAGCCTAATTTAGTTCTCTTAAATTAATGGTAAATAAATAAATATGAAGATATTAAAGGCTCTGTTTAACTAAATATAGCCCTGTCCCTCATCTTTAGCAGGGAAAATGGTCCTTGTTGCTCTCCAGTCACTAAGGATATTTGAAAATTTTGCACAAATACATTTCAAAATGTTTTTCAGGAGGTAAAACAAAACTATCAGTTATAATAATAGTCATGCTCAGAAGACATTCCATGAACCTATAAATTGAAGTTTTCCCCAAATGTGTTCCATACAAATTCATTAAATTCAAATATAGTGTCAATAAGTAGATGCCCCCTCTTCTGTAGATCAGAGAAGTAAAAGCTTACATAGTTAATTATTAATGACCCATCCCACTAAAGCAAAATATTCACCAAACTTAAACAAAAAGTAGCCACTGTCTACTATCACTACGTGGCAGAGAAAGAAATATTTCAAGGGATTTTTTTTTTCTGGCAGAATAACTTTTAAAAATTCAACATTATATTGATAATGTCTTTTAAAAAAGAAAATTGCTCATTGAGAGGTAAAAATGACACCCCCCCCAATCCAGCTATTAAGTCTTCCCATTTTCACTAATTAGCAACAGTGATGCTTCCTATTTACTCCTCCAGTAAGGGTCTCAAATCCACATGAATCTAGGCCAGGCAAGTACCATTAATTAAGTGTAGCAAGTAAATGGGGACTATAAACCACGTGTAGGAGCTTACACACCAAGTTTCAACCCCAAAGCTGCTACTACAGTCCATCTCCTTGCTGTTGTTGGTATGCGAAATGCAGAAGTGGTGCTACAAGATATTCCAATTGTCTCTAACAGAAGCCAGGAATCCAAATCACGCAAAACCTTCTATTTTTTAATGTTGGCAATTGAAAAACAAAAACAGAAACAGTGCAGGCCAAATAAAAGTACCTGAAAATTGAATTTGCTCTTCCAGTATGTAACCAGTGCTAGCTACACTGCAATAATACTCTAGGAACAGAAGCATCAGTAAGAATCTCAAATATTTGACTCCTAAACCCTAACCACCCCTCCCCACCTGGGGACTATTACTCAGATTTCATGTTAAAGACAGATTCTCCATGTAGTAAAGAAAGAACATAAGTGGTAATCTTTCTCCTTTGAAGATAAATTTTGGGGTTAATTTTGTAAAAAATATTATTACTGTAATATACTATTTTAAAGTATACATTTTAAGAAAAAAAATCAGAACAATTAAGATTGAGGTGGGTGAATTAAATTCCCAACTCCAATAAATTTGTAAAGACATTTTCTATGTATTACAATTCATTTTTAAAAAATAATGTTTTACAAAATGTGTTACTTGGGTAAAGTGAAGTGTCAATCAGCTGGGTCCTTCAGAAGCAACCACTAGAGCTACTTAGCATCTCTAGGTAAAACATCAGCAACTGGCAATCCAGATAGACCACCTTCGTCTTAGCAACATGAAAGAGGAAAAACAAACGAAGGGGGAAAGAAGTAATAACAGAAATATCTTGCCAGTTAACGTTGTTATGTGATGATTAAGTGCCAAAGGATCCTAAGACTCAATACAATTTTCTTTACAGCTTTACCTCTACTAAGGAGATTAGATGGCTAAAAAGGATAAACCAGCAAGACCTTCTATTTGGAAACACAATCTGCTGGATTAAAAAAGAAATGCTATGTGGGGCAGCACCCAGAGATTTAACATTATGGTTTAACTTTAAAAAGATCCTCTCAAAATTTTCAATTTAAGAAAAAAATAAGCTTTATTAGTCAAACTCTTCCCAAGAGTTTTAGGTTAATTTGGAAAAATACCCCACATATATATTATATTGATAGCATACTGTAAAAAAAAAATCCTTAAGAATGCAGTGTAGTTTTAAAAAATCCACCTGGCTTTATCAGAGCTAGGTTTCACCAGTTGACAGCTGTGTGACTTTAAGCAAGTTGTTTAAGTACTCTGAGCTCCATTCTCTCATTAATAAAAAACGATAAATACTAGCTACTTTAATTCTTGTTGTGAGGAATGTGATATATCTTCAATGAATTTATAATCCACTCTTATCTGAAACTTGAGTCAGTCCCACATCATCACCAGTTTAAAACACTTTTGACAGAACTACACAGACCAGAGAAGTCAACACTTTCCGAGGCAGCCCTTTTCATCCTCATACTTCTATTACTTTCTTTTACTAAGCTAAAATCAGCTTCCTTGTTACTTCAACCCCATCAATCCCACTCTAGTTTAAATCTTATTAAGTATAGCTAATTCAATTTTCGCTAGACTCTAACCTCCATGAGGGCTGAGGCTGTCTATTTCTGTTCGGCATTGAAGACCCAGCATCTAGAACAATGATAAACATATAGCAGGTGTACAATAAATATGTGCAGATTGAGTGACTTCTGTGCAGTATTTACTGATTGACCACTGAGATGCCCTCTAATATGAAGAGCACAGATGTGTACATTTCTGGAGGTGATCATTTAATGATTAATGTTTTTAAGTTGAAATGTCATTACCAAACTCATGCTGTGCTTTTTAAAAATCCCTTTGGATATAATAAACAAAAAGCAATTTTGCCATACTTTTAAATGGCAATGCTATTAAGTAATACAGATAAAGTTCCTTAAAAGCAATAAACTTATCAATTCCTCCATAACTCTTATTCATAATGTCTTTCAGATTTACCTAAATTTCAAGTCTACATTTAAAAAAAAAAAATCCAAAAATGATATGCAACCCACTGCTACTAGCTATTCTGCAAATTTCAAAATAATAATCACCCAAATTTTATTACCTGAAAGCTACCCAGAAAACATCAGAATTAAAGTTGTAATAGAATATAAAAATCTATAACTTTTTCTCATGACTTTCTCAGAAACACACTGCTAAAACATCTCACTGCTTAAACACTAGAATCCATTTATAATTTAGTCACTTATATTCCAGAGGTTAAAAGTACATTTCATGAAGTATGTTCCACTTCACAGAAGGAGAAATCAAACACAGTGAAGGACCAGCTCATCGTCCTCTGCAAATCTATAGAAATATTTCCATAATAAAGTAAATTTCTCCTGCCACCCAACGGTTTTAAGCTGTCATTCTGTGCTGTTAGCCTAAACAGGACATAACTACTAAGGTACATCTGCCACATACACATGTTAATACTCCATTTCAGACTCAAAATATTTCTGTATTATCTGGCTCACTGATGCTTGAGACTGTGGTAGAAAATAAGTGATCCACAAATAGGCAACTTCCACTAAAAAGCATTAGGTAAGGCAAATATAAGACTGAAATAATTTTAAGATAAAGGGCAAAACCCAAAAGGTTCAAACATTTCAGTGAACACAAAATTAGAGGACAGAAAATTAAAAATTCAGCTTTTTAAAAAGAAACAGCCCTTTCCACTCCAACAAGCTTTCCCAGACCAAAGCGGATGAAGCCTCTAGCCCTACAAAACTGCCTTTCTCCTTCCACCACTTTTATGATATTAAAAGAAAACTCATACATTACTCAAAAATGTATACTACATAAACTTAAGCCATCAAATGCAGTAGGGTTTTTGATAATTAAAATTACCACCTATCATTAAAATACTATCTGCAGAGTGACTTCAGGTACCGTGTGAGGAACTTACAGCCATAGAGAGTACATGCTTGATGGGCAGAGTCTGGATCTGTGCTACAGAATCTACCCAAAAAGAGCAGATTACATTAATACAAAATGTACAGAGAAGCACACTACACACTGGCTCCCAACTCCTTTTCAATTTGCTGTGGAACGTATTCCTTTGCAACAGCCACTGCCTCTGCCCTGAAAGATGCCCAAGCATCAAAGCAAAAGTGGCTTGCAATGGCAAAACAGAATCGACCTGGGCTAGGAGCATACCCACCATGCCTGTACTGTGTCCAGGAACAATTTCTCAACGTGGCCAAGGTGATGATGCAAAGCCAGTGACACGGCTGCTCCCAATGCAGCAACCACATATAGAAAGAGTTTCTCAACAGTCCCAGAAGAGACTCCTGGGGATTAGGGTAGGCTTAGGCTTCCTTTCCATTTTCAATACGCTGCTTAAAAGGAGACAATTCTACCCACGTTGACAGCACCCTGAGTGCCCATGAGCACACGAAAAGGTTTCTAGCTCATATTAATGTCGTTTGGAAGAAAATGTCCACTATTTGCCTTTACTTAGGGCCCTGTCCAGAGTGGGAAGAAGATTCCAGGAGTAGTAGGGACTGCGATAGAAGCAAGCTTTTGCCCTTCACACTCAACGCAGCATCCCGCCCAGGCCCGGATTCCCAGCAGCTGGGGCCTCCCCAGCCAGTGGACTACTATTTCCCCCACCCTCCTTCTCACCTGATCTTGTAATTCGGAAGCGTGTGCTTGCGCTTGATGACTTTCTTGAGCTGGTTGACGATGATGGAGGTGAGCTGGGGCATGGGCCGCCCTTCAAACTGGGAGCGTACCTCGAAGTCGATCAGCGGGTCCTCCACGAAGGAGAAGAACCAGTGGGTGAAGGGCACGCGAGTAAAGACCAAGCGCAGCCTCCCCGCCACTCGGGACAGCTTGACGAACAGGTAGGCGGACTTGCCAAAGACCAGGTCCACGTCAATGGCGAGGTGGAAGCCCCCGTTGTACTCCACCTCTGCCTCGAAGGCCAGCTCCTCGGGGCAGGTGGTAGGCAGCGCCTCCCCCTCGGGGCCGTCGGGCTCTCCGGTGGTCGAGGGCACTACGGGCCGGACGAGCCGGATGGTCTTGATGAAGGGCACCGTGTCGCCCAGGTACACCTCCCGCAGGCTCAGCCCTTCCAGCAGGCGCCCGGCCGTCTTGGTCTGCAACAGCTCCTCGAACTCCACCTTGATCTTCTTAGTGACCCAGCGGCGGGTCAGCGCAGTGTCCCGCAACTCCCGGAACAGGAACAGGATGGTGGCGTTGAGGAAGTAGCAGGTCTCCCGCGTTGGCGGGGCGGGGGTCTCGGGGATTGGAGTCGGGGTCGCGCCTCCCTCGAGGGCCCCACTGGAAGGCTCCTCATCCCGGCCGCCGCCATAAAGGTACTCCCTCAGGGACAGGCCTGGCACGGGCTTGATGTAGCGGAAGCCGTCGCCCGCGCGGGCGGCCTCGTCCGGCGGCGGCTCGGGCTGTTTGCGGTACAGCAGCAGGAACTGGGCGAGGAGCGTGAGGAAGGAGCCCAGCACGGCCGACACCAGGATCATAAGCAGCAGCCCCATCCCGCCACCGCCTCCGCCCAGGCCCCTGCTCCCGCGCCCACAGCGCCGCTTTCTTCACGCCGCCGCCCCCGCTGCCTCCATCTTGAGGACATCGGGCGGCGGGGTCCGGACGAGCGGCTGCCTGGGCCTCGTCCAGCGGCTCGGGCCGGCGCGGTGCAGCGCCTAAGCCCGCAGCGGCCCGCGCCTCCTCAGACGCTCCCGGAGGGCCGGTGTGGTGGCGGCGGCGGGGGCGGGACGGCGCCTCCCTCGGGTCTCCGCTCATTGGACGAACGGCGCGTGGCGTCATCAGCGTACTCGCTCCCGGCGGCGGCGCCTGGCAGCCGGCGTCCGGGCGCGCGGACGCGGGTCCTGCTTCACCTCTCGGGCGCCCTTCCAGCCCCCCAGCCCCCACCGACATTCCACTCCTCGGCCGCGCGCGCCGCGACCCGCGTAGCTGTAGCTTCTGGAGCGGCGGTGCGGACCTGGGAGGATAACTGCGGGCTCAGGTCGGAGGAGGAGGAGGTCCGGCGGAGATAGCTTGGCGCGTTTTGGGTGCCCGTCATGCCGTTGTCTCCCAGTGCGCCATCCTTCGTTTCTGGCCGTGGTCCTCGCGGCCGCCTCTGCAGTGTGGTTCTCCCACTCGCGCCCCCGAGGCTTGGGCTGGCGGCGGCGCTTTCCCTGCAGGGCAGCGCCGCAGAGGCTCTGAGCGGGCCCTCGGACGCTTGCCAAGCCGACGGCAGGAGAGAGGACCGACTGCCGCCGAGACCGCCATCGCTGACCGTCGCCCGACCGGCAGACGCTCTGCGTCCGCGGAGGGTGGGCCCTGGGAAAGAGCGACAGAGCGGGGAGGGCGTCAGACGCGAACTAACTTTCCCTCCTACGTGCATCTTCAAAATTTAAACAAGAAGGAATTTTAAAGGAGAGTCGGGAGGAGTACTGATGAGTGAAATGAGCTTGCCAGGTGATTGGAAGATGAGTAGTGACTCACTGTCAGGCTCTTGTTAAGCCCCCGTGTTATTACCACATTTAGTCCGTCTGTGAGGCAATTATTGCTACCTCTACCCATTTTACAGATGCGGACACGCGCAGGGAGCCTAAAGAAGTTGCCGTGGGGTCACACAGTGGATCCTGATTGTCTTAACATTAAACCCTAAGCACCTGGTCACAACTCTGAACCATAACACCAAATTTGCTACAGTTGTGCGGGTTCACTGCTGCACCGGAAGGGAGAATTGGGGAGGAGGGCCAGGAAAGACTTCAAGGAATTTTGTACAGGGTAGTACCTAGATGAAAGCCATACGGTTAATGAAGCCTAGCAACGATGTTACTACTCACGCCTTTGGCTACTTAGTTATTACCTCATAAATGCATATCCCTCCAACCACGTGGACACCACAACAGTCCTAGTCCTACAGGGGTCAGATATCCCATACCTAAAAGTCAGACATTCTGGCTGTACCAAGGAACCAGGGCAGGGCTCCTCTCTAGCCCTCAAAAATCTTCAAGCCAAGGATTCTCTTGACTCTGGGTGATTCTACAACAAACACAAGAGTTGTGACCCAGCTGGGGCAGGTACAGAACTTTGGAACTAGGCCCATCTCAATTTACCTATTCATACCCAGGTGTAGGCCAGAATGGCTTCCATTAGTAAGAAGACATAGGACAAGTGCCTGCCAAGGAACCATAGTCAAACTCTTGTGGGAATTTCTGGGAGCTCCAGGCAACTTCTGTTCTGGTCACCTTTGGCTCGTGGCCTCTGCTTTTGGGCTGTTCTCTTTGTTGCAATTTCAACTCAAATGGGCAATGTAGACCCTTCCTCGATTTCCACCACAAACCTATTCATAACTTCATGCAGCGTTGTAGTAAAAGCTACAGAAGCTGGGGTGGACTGGAGTAGTGAAGGAGGAGTGCTTCACATTACTGAAGTACAAAGACCTCAAACTATATCGACGCACCCTGGATCATAAAGGATTCTTCGCCCACCTCCCTTCCCCACAAGGAAAGTTGGTGGTCTTCCTGGGAATGAGTCCTCCGTCTCATTCTCCATCTGCATCTCCTCCTCTCTTCCCCTTCTCCCACCTCTTCCTTACTCTGCAGAATACCTCTGAAAATCCGAAAACTTCTCAATCTGTTTAACACAGTCATTCAATTCCCCAGGAAAACTTG